TATTACAAAGCAACTCCAAATATTCTACAAATAATATATGTCAAAGGTCATATCAAGGCCTAATTTAATATCATGAGACAAGTTAATCCTACACTAGGTACAACTAGGTAAATTAAATTTCATACAATAAAATAATTAAATAAAGTATTCAAGACTCATTCAAATATTCACATTTTTATATATGTTAATGAACAAATTAATGCCTAATTTAATATCACATTGCAAGTTCATTCCATACTAGGTACAATCATGTAAATTAAATTCCATACAAAGAAAATAATTAAATAAAAGTCTCAAAACTTATTCAAATATTTTCAATTTAATGTATATGATAAAACATGCCAAGCTCATTAACAATATCAAGTTAAAAATCAAATTTAGTGTTTAGAACACTTAAAATAAAATTAATTAATTTCATTAATTAATTTTTTTTAGATTTTAAAACAACTCCGATTATCCTCAACTTCACCTCTGTTAAAGAACATATCAAGGTCTAATTTAATATCACATTACAAGTTGATTTCATACTAGTTACAATCATGTGAATTAAATTTTCATACAAGTGAAATATTAAATAAAAGTTTCAATACTTATTCAAATACTCCCAATTTAATATATGTTAATGATCATATCAAGGCCTAATTTAATAGTATGCCACAATTTAATTCCAAACTATATACAACCATGAGAATTAAATCTTATACAAAGAAAATAGTTAAATTAAATTCTAGATAAAATACATAGGCATGCATACAAGTTGTATAAGCTTATAAAACAATCAAGACAACAATTATATAAGCCTAAGACATCCCCTACCTCACTTTGAGATAAAATCTCAAATCCCCACCGAAACGGAACCTCTCCGAATCCGACGATACTTCAGGGTTACGACAAGGACAATGAGGGGAACAATAATCCTTCACGAGGTAACACCAAAATCCCAACTTGAACTCAAAACCCGAACTAAAAAATTGTTGAAAATGGTTTCTAATAAGGAGGAAGGGACCGCCTTGCCAAAGCCTACGATAAACACTAAGGCACTATGACATTTTTCAAGAGGGAAGTGGCTGTAAAAGAAGGAAGAAGGGTAGCATCCTCTTGGGCTGCCGGCCAAGAGGGGAGGAAGATGAGAAAAATCTGAATTTTCATTTACTAACCCCCTATTTATAGAAAAACCCTAAAAGTGCCCTGAACGGGTCCCGCCGGGTCCGGAAAAGTGGAATCTGCGCAAACGCGCTCAAATAGTAAAACAACGTGAATGAAAAAGAACCGAAATGAGAAAAATTGAACAACAGAAGAAATGAAGTTGAAAACCGAGTACCGTACAGGAAGATGTACCCCGAACAAGTTCGACACTAACTAGGGCAGAAAACCCTAAAACTGGGAAAAACGTCCGGAAGGAAATTCTAAGAGTCCAAGACTCGACGAAATGTGAAAATAAATCCCGTACGAGGATTCAGGATCAAAATGAGGCATTTTGCAATAACTTTCGTTAATTGCACAATGGCTCCTCTAAGAAAAGGTAATTGCAAAACTAGCCCAGAATGAAAATATCTTCCAAAAGATATTTTCTTAAAAATCCCTAATCAAAATATCTCCAAAAGATATTTATGAAACATACCCCAAGCAACATAAATGTTTCTGAAAAATCCTTTCATCCACGCCCCTACGGGAGAAAGAAACAATCGGCGAGTTTTTCTCCAAAAATAAAGCTACGTGTTTCGAGAAAATCAACTAGTATGAAGAGTCATGAAGTCAAAAGTCAACTCCGAACACAAAAAATGAGGTTGTGCCAAAAAGTGACAAACGGGGAAAAAGACGAAAAGTGAATAGTGTCCAAAAAAATGAAAATGTGGAAATAACGCCGTCCTTTGAGGAAGTTATCAATCCAAAGGAAAGAGTCTCAGAAACTTTTTCCGAGCACTCGAGATGACACCAAGTGACGAGAAACTATACTTGGAAAAGAAAAATCAACGAAAAAAAAAAAAAAAAAATCGTAAAATTTGTGAAAAAGGAAATGAAAGAAAATGACTGGGTCATTACACGTGCCCCCCAGTCTAATACTGGCTCCGTCTTTGACCTGTTACATACGATACAAAATGAATCTTATTTTATCATTTGATCAGATTATGAGATTGATTTATCCAATCACATAGTTTGGGTTACAAAAGCAAGATGACATTTGGTTAGTGACTAAGGTGCTATTTGATAAACTAAAAATTAAGCACTGAAAATTTCAAGTACTGAATTTTAAGAGTTGAAACTTTAATTGTTGAATGTATTCATTTGGAAACCTGTTTGATAACGTTTTAATTTTAAGCATTGAATATTTTAAGATTGTTTGTTATATACAAAAGCTGAAGTCTGAAAGTTATACATATTACATTTTTGTTCTCAATATCTGATACTCATAACAGTTTTATATTTATAATACAAAAATATTAATAAAACAACCACATTCACTCAATGAAATAAATAAATATGAAAATTTAAAATATATGGATTTTGTATTTCATAACATTTATGTATGGTATCGAAAAGGGTGTTACAAAGATTAAAGAAAGTAAGATTTAAAATATATGAGTTTTGGATAGAATAATATTTAGGTAGTGTATTGAAAAGAGTGTTACAAAGATTAAAGAAAATATTTGAAAAGGAATTCTTATTTAGGACTAAAATTCTATTATATAAATAATAAACGAAAATTTTAAATGTATGAGTTTTGGATTATATAATATTTACGTAGGTACGGTGTTACAGGAATTAAAAGTAAAATTTAAAATATATGTATTTGGATTACATAATATTTATTTAGGGTATTGAAAAGGGTGTCATTAAGCAAAGTGAAAAAGAATTCTTTACCTAGGAACATAATTATATTATATAAATAATTAATAAAAATTTAAAATATATAGGTTTTGGATGTAAAAAAGAATATTACAAAATATTAGAGAAAGTAAAATTGAAAATATATGAGTTTTGGATTACACGGTGTATTGAACTCTTCTTCCGTATCATTGATGTAGGGCATTACTATGAATCAATTATGATGTATGAACATTTATTTTGTCAATGTATCTATGTTTTAATGGTTGCTTTGGGACGGGTTTAAAGTTATATAGATGTGCCAATTCACAACGGAAGTGTAGGGACTAAACCATAGCTTAGTTTGGAGCTAAAGGCCATTTTCCAGGATTTGGGTTATTACAATTACAGTCGATGACGACGTAGCCCAGTGCTCCAACCACAAATGTCAGCGACTGCAAAACACGGCGATGACCACAAATCTACCATCGATCAATCATGATAGCGAACAAATGTGTCGTCGGTAGTCGTCGATGGGCTACACAGCGATGTCAATCTCTGCAAACTTCTCGGCAACAGTAAATAGAAGGTCTTCGATGAAAACTCTGGCGAAAGAAATGATGAAACCTTCGGCAACAGCGAAGGACGGCAATGAAACCTCCAGCGACAGCGAAGCACACAACCGCAACGACAAAAATAAAATTAGGATCTCGCAAAGCTAGTACACACCGTAGCCAACGATTATACAAGTTGTAGCGGCAACGACAATGATCAAATCGGCAGTTCTGATACCATGTAGAGAAACAAGCAGTAGAACAAAAGAGAAGAAAATATGGAGGCTGTAGTTTTCTCATTATTGAACCCTAACAAATACAATGCTATATGCATAAGAAGAATGACCTATTTACTTAATGGCCCATAGATTATAAGAAATTACAATTATAGCACAAGCATAAATAAATATGTTCTAACAGTAACATTACTCAACTCTTAATTGTTAAAATTTAACTTGGAGAGAGAGAGAGAGAGAGAGAGGGAAAAAAGGATTTTTTTAAAAAGTTAAATCCTATAATTTTGTTTCGGTTTTGACATTGAACCCTTTATTAAAAAGTATTAGACGTTGATCTTATTTTAAAATATTTTTATTAGTCAACAAACAGCCCATCAAACAATTACAAACAACGTCATAAAATTGCAAAATCATCCCTCTGCTTAAACTTTCTAGGCAGCGTCTTAGTCGTTACCTCGGAAATTTTCCAACAATATGAATAAAAATCAAATCTGGTTGGATTATGGGAAAATAAGAAAACTCTTGTGATTCCGAATATAAAAGTCGACATATGTAATCCATCTACTGTTTCAATGGAAGCCAATTTGCCTCTTTTTTTTTTTTTTTTTTTTTTTTTGTACGCCATTAAATTACAAGGCAGCAAACAAAGCCTCTGAAACAAGAAACAACTTAACCCAAAAACAAAACAAAACAAAAATCAATGATCAATTTGAAGAGCGTGGATCTCACTCAAACATATATATATATATTCTAAGAAATTTTAAGATTGCATAAGCCAAAGGTTGATTTGAGATTGCACTTTGAAATTGTGAATATTCTATTGCTGGAACTAGTTGTAATCAATTTCTTTACAATCATTTTATTTTTTCATAAATTATGAATTATGACTATGAGAAAAAAATAATGAATGTATAAAGTAAAAAAATGACAATTGTTTGCAGCGGTGATAAACAGCAATGGCGTAGAAACAAAATAGAGAGAAAGATGGAGGTTTGGATTTTGTTGGTAACAAGGGAAGGTAATTTTGGAATTTAAGGTTCCGGTAGAGTAGTTTGGCAAAAAATAAATTAAGTGTAATTTTGAAATTTAAAGAAGAAAATACTTTTAGAGTTAAGGATGTTTAGTTGACAAATTAAAATGTATAAAAATAAGATAAATTCTTAACAATTTTTTAAAAAGTGACCAATGTCAAAATCATACAAAATTAATAAGATAAATCCCTAACAATTTCTTAAAAAGTGACCAATGTCAATACCATACAAAATTATGGGATTAAACTCCAAAAAAATAAAAAAATAAAAAAAAATAAAATAACTTATTGGAAAAGTGAAAAACAAATCAAACCGTGAACCCCTAGCATTTTGGGCCAATCCCAGCCCAACTTGATCAAAATCTGGTTGCTTACCCTAAGTAAATACCACCCCTCCAATCAACAATTTTATATCCACGTCGTCTCCCAAAATCTCTCCCTCTCTCTCTATGTTCCCTTAACCCTTCCGGGATTAGGGCACTTTGATCTCGAACTTCCTCTAGGGTAATATCTGTAGATGTAAAGCAGCGTGTCTATCCTATAATATCTAGGTTTTTCTGTTTTCCAAGATCGTTTGTCCTCTCCCACTTTTCTCTATTACGCACGGTTAGGGTTAGGGTTAGGGTTAGGGTTTTGTGCGAAGATGATGCAACCAACACCTGGTATGGTTCGACCACCAATGCCTCACATGCCAATGGATCAGCAGCAACAGCAGCAGCACTACCAATACCAACAACAGCCACCGCCACCGCAGCAGTGGATGATGATGCCGCCTCCTCAACAACAGCAGCCACCACCTCAACAACAGCCTCTTCAGCCGCAGCCACCCCCGGTCTGGGCCCAGCAGCCTCCTCAGCCCCCCATGCAACAACTTCAGCTGCAGCAGCAGCAACAACAGCAGTATCAGGCCGCTCAGATGGGCTCCAAAGAGATTCGATCGCTTTGGATTGGAGACTTGCAGTACTGGATGGATGAGAACTATCTTTACACCTGTTTCGCTCAGACTGGAGAAGTAATCTTCTTAACATTACATTTATGCGCGCTCACACACACACACACACACACACAAATGTTTCTTGCATTTTCTTGGCAACCCATTAATGCACAAGTCAATTAAAAAAATTCAATTTTTACAAGTGAAATCATTTACACAAAAATTGCAATAGAAAAGATTCAAAAAAGGGTTTAAGGAGGGTGGGGTAGGTTGTCCAGCGACTAGCCTGTGCAAGAAAATGCATCTTTCACTGTGCTATCTAAAAGAGAGAAACTAGCATACATTTAATGTCAAAAATAAGTATAAGATAATATGAATACAAATGGCAAAATAGTACAGGTTGTTCTTGTACTTCATAGTTTTCATTTGTCAACCCACATTTTAATTTATTTTGAGTTGAGTATTTGATGCTTTTGATGGGTGGGGGTGTGTGAGAGAGAGGGGGAGAGTTCATGTTCCCATTCCCAACATTCCCACTTCTCATTGAGTTGATATAAAGCACCTATGTGTATGTTAATTTACATAGCTATTGATGTTTTGGGTGCTTTCAGATTGCCTCGGTGAAGGTTATTCGTAATAAGCAGAGTGGCCAGCCTGAGGGTTATGGCTTCCTTGAGTTCACAACTCGTGCGGCGGCAGAAAGGGTTTTACTTACATACAATGGCACACCGATGCCAAGTGCTGAACAGAATTTCAGGCTGAACTGGGCCACCCTTGGTGCTGGCGAGAAGCGTGCAGATGACACTCCAGATTACACTATATTTGTTGGAGATTTGGCTGCTGATGTTTCGGATTATATTCTACAAGAAACATTCAAAGCTCACTATCCATCAATAAAGGGTGCAAAAGTTGTCAGTGATAGAGTCACTGGGCGGTCTAAGGGTTATGGATTTGTTAGGTTTGCAGATGAGAGCGAACAATTGCGAGCTATGACTGAAATGAATGGAGTGGTCTGTTCTACGAGGCCTATGCGGATTGGGCCTGCTGCTACCAAGAAACCTGCTGGTACTCAGCAATATCAGAATGGTATGTGTTGAAGCAGTTCTTTTTATCATTTCTGCAAGCCTTCTGCAATACAAAAATAACCTATTGATGGATTTTATTTCTGTTCTTATTTAGTTGTTAGTTTGTTATTTTCTACTTGTTACTTTTTTTTGGCTGTTCCATTTTGTTCTCTTTGGTTTTTTTGGAAGTGCCTATGGCTTGGTGTGTCATAAGTGGAGTTTTTGTTGATGTTTTTTTTATTTGTGTTTATCATTGGTTTTTATAAATTTGATGTTCTTTCAGTTATGAACTTGAAGATGCGCGGAATTTACAAAGTCATTTCCTTCCAGTACTTACCTTTATAGACTTGGGCACTTTTAATTATATCAAAACTTGCAAAAACTTATAAGACTCATATTGTCTTAAAGCAGGACACAGAGAGGCTCTCATTTGTGGGGCCTGGAACTGATTTCAGCTGAAATGATTCCACTTTATTGCGTGGCCTCATTTTAGGTCAGTTATTTTGTTTATGTCATAAGCTTTTGTCCTTACTTCCTTTTCTTGTGGCATTTATTATGCTACCTTCGCTTACTTTCCAATTCGTTATAGTTGAAGTTACCATTCATTTTCAAGTACTTTTCTCCAATCCATTCGAAGGTTACGTTTCCTTTTTTCCATTACTTTTTTCCCGTTTTATGCAAATCCACAATATTCCTTGTTTTATTTATTCATGGATAAGTTCCTTTGCACTCAATTCATATCATTGGCAACAAGTTATTATCCAATTTTTTGTCCCATATCTATTTGTGCTTCAAAGTTTTGGTTTTATTCCTTGAAAAGTCTCTCTCTCTCTCTGTGTCTCTCTCTATCTCTTGGACGTTTGAGAATTGAAAAATGTTAGCATGACAATACTTGTAATAGCCATAGGTTTAGTTGTTGCATCTAGCTATTATGCAGTTTGCTCTCTTTTCTGGAACACACTGAATGGTTTGTCGACGTCTTCTTGATTTTTTTTAATCATTTGTTTACCTATTTTATGAGCATTGTAAATTGTGAGGATGTCCCCTTTTGAGAGGAAGGGCTTATGGTTGTGAGTTTAACAATCCAGTACTTGCAGTAGCAGCTTAAGCAAATTTCTGGGTTTGAGTACTATGGAAGTAATTATTTTGTCCTTTTACCTTTTCTTAGTACCTCAGCTGGAATTTACTTATGAGTATTTCTTGAGGTGAGCATGTGCTGATAAATTTTTATTTTTTCAGTTCATTAAATCTTGGTTTCTTCTATAATTTTCCTGGAACTATTTGGTTTTCAATTGTACTTTTTTGGCTGCATATTTGGTGCACAATTTTATTGAAGCTTAAATTTTCAGTATTTGAAATTTTTAATTGATCAAAGTAGATTGTTGTGAGTACTATGAATGCTTTTAAATGGAGTTATGTATGCCATAAGAAGCTTAGGACACTTAGCTTGTTTGAAGTCATGAAACAATCAACTGAATGCATGGATAAGCTTCTGGTAGTCGGGCACCACCGGAACTGCTGTTTTATATGTTATAAAGCCAAATATTATCTAAAAAGGATTATTTAAGTGCGTAATTTGGTGTACAAGATTGAGAAGCAATAATTAACACATAATTTGATTATAATCCAAAGAATCAAGAAAATCCCTTTTTTTTTTTTTTGTCAATACACTTCGGCCACATTTGGTATGCAAGGTTGGAGTGAAGTGGTAAGTAATGAAATAGGGAATGCAATAGGAGTGGTGCTTGAATCGAATGATCGTTCTCAAAGGGGAGCGATCCAAAGAACAACTGCTCAAAGAAAGGCATCTCTATATTTCTACACACTCAGCCTCTCAGGCTTTCCAAAAAATCAAGAAACTCCTTAACAGATTTACAAATTCTCTTTATAACCCCAAAAAAGTGATAACTTAGAATATGGTGTTTTAACACCTATATTGGAGCGTCCACACCATCAAAAGACCTCTTACTCCTCTCACGGCAAAGTCCCCACCAAATACAAAGGGGTCCGACCCTCCATGCATCTAGAGCCTGGCTTTCTAATTGGACTTGGACTCTAGCAAAACCTACTGCACTATTAATTTCTTATCAAAAAAAAAAAAAAAAAAAAAAAAAACACCCTATTGCACTACAAAGACCACAAAGAACATAGCCCAGACATCCCTTGCCACGGGGCAATGTAGGAGAAGATGACTCGACTCTTCATCCCTCTTACACATGCTACACCATTAATTTTAATTTGACACCTCTTCCTCAAATGGTCCAGTGTTCCCTCCTAAGAGTCGCTGTCCATCCAAAGAAAGCCACCTTGATAAGGGCTTTAGATTTCCAAGTTGTTTCCATGGGAAGGTAGATGCCTAATCACCTTGAAGAATCTGATAATAATACTTCACCATAAACCTTCATGCCTAGAACCCATCCAATTCCACTCACCCTCCCCAAGCACATCCTACTTGTACAACTACTCAAAAAAAAAAAAAAAAAAAAAAAAACAAAAAAAAAAATTACAAATAGTCAATTTTCCAATCCTCCTGAACATCCCATGTCACCCTTTTGTTATCAACGTCATAATAGTTGGCCACCATGATCTATTGGACCCTTGCAATCCTAACCTGTCCTTTACCAACACCAAACATTCACCTAGAATCTGATATATCTCCCACTTCTAACTTTAAAGTAAACATGCTTTGAAAATTCATTCAACCCTTTCCTAATGTGTTTCAACTCCCTCCCCTGTTGGAAGAGTCACCTCCACAGAGCACCATCTGCTGCTTTCCTCTCCAATCTTTATCAGATTCAAACTCCATGACGGACGTTGCATTCGGTTTTGAGAAGATCTCTGCTGTGGGGATCAGTTACTTTCTCGTACTTTTCCAAGATTATATAGTATTGCTGTTAATAAACACGCCTACATAGTCGACTGCTATCGGCTTGATAGCAGCGGGATTATATGGGATGTACATTTTCGGCGCTCTTTTCAGGATTGGGAGATGGACGAGGTATGTGTTTTTTTGGATCTTCTGTATCGACAGGAGGGCGTTGGCAGAGGTAATGATGTTTTAAGTTGGGTTCCCTCTTCTCATGGTCGTTTCGAAGTTAGATCTTTGTTCTTATGTTTGTCAAATTTTATTAATCGAGACTTCCCGTGGAAAACTATTTGGCGGTCAATGGCTCCAACTAGGGTGGCTTTCTTTGTTTGGACTGCTGTGTGGGGAAAGATTCTGACAATTGATAATTTGAGAAAAAGGGGCAATTGTATAGTTAATCGCTATTATCTATGCAAGGATGATGAGGAGTCCGTTAATCACCTCCTTTTGCATTGCCCTGTGGCGATTGATTGTTGGAATCTTATTGTTGGGTTGTTTGGCATGTGTTGGGTTATGCCACGATTTACTAAGGAATTGATTCATATTTGGAGAGGTTGTCGAGTGAGAAGAGACGTTCGCGATTTCTGGAGAATTGTACCACATTGCGTATGGTGGTGCATTTGGAAGGAGAGAAACAACAGAATGTTCAAAGGAAAAGAGTTGCCTACGGAAACGGTCAAACTTTACATTCTTCGTTCTCTCTTCAATTATGTGAAGAGAAGCTTTTGTTCTTCGTCATATGATTTAATTACTTTTTGGAGCCTTAGCTCCGGTTCCACTTTTGTAATTGGGATGCGTTCCCCTCTTGAATGCCTTTTTTTAATGTTATTTTTACTTATAAAAAAAAAAAAATGATGATTCTCCATAGCCTGGTCCTCTCCATCCCGTATCTCCAAAGCCATTATTCCAACAAGGTAAGTTCTCTCACACCAATCCGCCCATTCGAAGTGCTTTATCAAGTGTTACGAATCTTCTCCCACATTATCAAGTGGTATTTGAATTCATTTCGTATTCCTCCCTATAGGAACTTCCTTTGCAGCCTCTAACTTCTCCTTACTGTAGAGGAGGAAATTTGGAATAAGGAGATGCAGTCTATGTTACCCGCATTTGGGTACGTGTGTTGGGTGTGAACATGTATCGAAGCGTCAGAAATATTGAATTGGACGCGGCTAAATATTCATATTATTTAAGATTTATGTTATATTTATTAGAATGATTTCTTTATGTTACAGAGGGGTTAGTATAGGGGTGCACACAGTTCATATAAGATCAGTATTTAGAAAAGTTGAAACCAATCCAGCTATTACGGTTCCAAGAAAAGTAAAACCGATCCCAACAAATCAACATGTCAAAACCCATCCAATTCAATTTGAACCAGATGGATCAAAACGAATCGGATCAGATTGGATTGGTGGTTAGGACTTGAAAATGCCCAAAAAATGGACTCTCATTCTCTCTCTCTCTCTCTGACGCACATGACACAACCCACCCTCACACAACCATATTTCTCTTGTTCTCTCTCTCTCTGACTCACATGACACAACTCGCCCTCTCACACAACCCATATTTCTCTCTTTACATGCAACACACACATCTCAGCTTTGTTTGGCACGCACAAACATACACTGACACACAACTCATATCTCTCTACACTCGAATTAAAACCGATCTGAAAAATCAACATTTCAAAACCGATCTGATCCAATTTGAACCAGACGGTTCAGAGTAGATTGGATTGGTGGTTTGTACTTGAAGAGACCCAAAAAAATGGAGTCCTATTCTCTCTCTCCCCCTCTTTTGGACATGTCAAAACCGATCCAAAAAAAATATGAACCACACGGATCGGATTAGATTGGATCGGTGTGTGTGATGAAGGGAACAAAGAGAATGAGAGAGACCGAAAAAGAAGACAACAATGAAGACTTTTTTTCTGGCGAGATGAAGAAGACAACATTGAAGACATTTTTTATGGCAAGATGGTGGATCGTCAATAGAGAAGAAGACAACGATGAATACATATTTTGTGGTGAGAAGATGGTGGATCATCGGCCAGAGATGATGAATTGTTGGCAGGAGTGATGGTGAGAGGCAGAGATCATGAGGGGTGAGTTTAGGGTTACTTAGAGGAACAGTTTTACAACTTTATATATATATATATATGTATGTATATATAAATAACGGTTCATATCGATTCAAGTCGGGTTTTGTTTGCTCCAATCCAATGGGGTGCCTGTGTTCTGCGTGGATCGGATTGGATCTGCAGTTCGGTGGTTTTTTTGTTCACCCCTAGTTCTATTTAATAGTATAAAGGCCATGAGCATGGATAATAGGTGGTGAACTTTGCAATATAGTTGCAACTTATAATTCTCTTTATAAGTCCTAGTGTTCAGTTCCTCTGTATACCTGATTGCAAGTTATAAGTAGGTGGACGGAAGCAGCTGCTAAGAAGGCTCACACTCACATCTTGGAAACAACAATGCATGTACAATTTGGATGGAGGCGGATCAAATACTGATCCAATTTATTGCCTAGAAAATCATTTCTAGGGATTCGTCTAGTTTACTTGAGACTTGCTCTATATTTTCTTTAGGTTGCTTTATGTAGTGTCTTTGAATTTTTCTTATGTTCTTCTCTACATCTTTGTTCTGATTTTCTTTATACCCCACAAGTTGGTGAGGATATGTTTCCTTTATCATGTGAAAAGGAAAGAAATTTATTTTAAAAGGATTTAATTTTAAGATTGATGATTACATTGTTGTCATTAGAGGTTTTTGCTATTGTAATTATCTTGTCATAACTGATCCCAACCTGACAGTTTAGTTTGGCTGGGTAATCAGGCATGATCGACGTTCTGCCTGTTTGCTCACACAGCAATGCATTTTACTACCCAAGGTTTGACTACAGGAATCCTTCCTAACAAACAGTTGGCCACATTATGTATAATGAATAAAACCTTTAACTTATCACCTTGAACTTATCATTGTTTATTCCATCTTCACATTTTTTTTTTTGTTTTGCAGCTTCTTACCAGAATTCTCAGGGAAGCCAGGGCGAGAATGATCCAAACAACACAACAGTGGGTTGACTTTCTTGGTTTTAAAATTATTGCTTGCACTTTATATTTTAATTGACTCTTCTTGTTCTCGAGTGCAGATATTTGTTGGTGGTTTGGACCCGAGTGTTTCAGATGAGAATTTGAAGCAAGTCTTTAGCCAATATGGTGAGCTGGTTCATGTGAAAATACCCGTGGGTAAGCGTTGTGGTTTTGTTCAATTTGCTGACAGGTATTTGCACACATCTCTTTATGTGGTGGGATTTTTTTTCTTGGTTGATAGCAATTGGTTTTCAATATGATTTTTTATGTCATGTTTCAGAGCTCGTGCTGAGCAAGCATTGTCAATGTTGAATGGTACTCAACTAGGAGGACAAAATATTCGACTTTCATGGGGGCGTAGCCCTTTGAACAAACAGGTTTCTTAATCTATCACCACAGACTGATAATTTTTGCTGTAGTGCATTTACCCGTGTATCTGAATATCGGGTTGATACAGGCTCAGCCAGATCAGAGCAGCCAATGGAATGGTGCATATTATGGATATGCACAAGGATATGATGCATATGGATATGCGCCACCTCCTCAAGACCCTAATGTGTACTACGGAGGCTATTCTGGCTATGGAAATTACCAACAGCCACAGCAGGTAAAGTTACAAGCTTTTCTGCATTTATTCAGTAAGTGAAATAGAACTTCTTGTAAAAGTATTTCACTACTAGCAGCAGGGCATATACGTTATTATTGAATTGTCACCTCCAATGATTAATTCAGATGAGTAATGCCTGGATTTAGTTTGCCAAGGATTAGATTGTACTATTCTTATGAACTAGATTGCCAACAGATGTTTGTCACTAGTCTGCTTGATTGAATGAGAAAATTGTCATGTAATCGAGGAAGACAACTTCTTGCAACATCATCAGGAATGGCTTATTAGATCATTGCATATTATTTTGATTGATATGATGATGAGTACGTGTAGTTACAAATACAATGGGGCCAATTATAAAGGTTGTGTATATAGTATGCTCCTGCAGCATTTTTGTTTTCTTATTTGCAAATAATTTGGGAAGAGATGCTGGGGGTGAGGTGTTTCTTGTCATCTCTTCATATTAACTGGCTGCTAATGGCTAACATTGCTATCGGTCTCTCGCCCGTATTTAACCTCGGACAGAATTTGCTGTCCCATTTGGGCTGCATTCCCAAACAACCAGACACCGCCTTGTGGTTCGACAGGGTCCGGCCACGGATTTAGAATTATCGCATTATTAGATATGTCACATTTTGGTGGGTCATTTTTGAAGTGCATGTGATGTTTGTTAATTCTTTTATCTATTTACTTCCTCCTTTATATATTGTGATGAGATGATTCTTTACAGTGATTTGTTGCTGTCCGTTGGGAAGCCCAAGAGGTGGCGAACTGTTTTCACTCTCTTCTGATTTTACTTAGTGGCTTCAGTTTTCCAGTTTATCTAACTGGCTGTGACTCTTATGGTGTTTGGCTTCAGGGTTAGTAGTACATTAAAAAATCTTATTTCAAGGATGCTATTTTCCTGGAAACTTCTCTGAGTATGTTGGAGGCTTCTTTAGAATATTGATGCACTTTTTTTTTTTTTTTTTTTTTCCCTTCTGGTTTGTACTGCTTGATTTTTGTATTATGCATGCTATTTTAACTTTTTCTTAATCATGGGCTATGGTTTGTTTAGTGGGTAGTAGTATTTCTTATTTGCTTGTGCCTTTTGATATGAGCTAGATTATATATATATATATATATGGCTGCATCTGTGTTATGACTAAAACCTTTTAAAAAATGTACCTAGGGTTTCTTCTGTTATGACATCAACCTTGTTTCAAGTCTTTAATTATAAGAATGTATTCCTAATTTGAGCTTCAGAGGGCTGTTGGAATGGCAAATCCTGATGATTCGGTGGAGACATTACTGATGCTTCGATTCAGATTCTTTATAGCCTGTTTTGATATGTTCATGTCACTTACCTGGATTTTTTTTTGAGTACATGTAACCAACGGCTTTGGTCAGGTTTGGATTGGGACATTAACAAAATGTGTAAAATGATGACATTGCCTATTTACTTTTATGTATTATCAATCTAAAAGATCTTATCTTGTAAATATACAAATTTGGACATGGTCAATTTCTAACCAACGCATCTAACTCGGTTCTCTTTTGCTTTGCATGGTGGTGGTTCTCAAGCTATTCTCTATCTACATAATCTTCACAAGTTCATCTAGTACTCTCAACAAAGGGTACATACAACATATATACATATACATATATTAACATATATTTGAGTATTTGATTCAACTTGAATTATACTGATAGATTAAAGATGCAAGTTATACAACACCCAAAATTATGGAGTAAGATTCGCCTGGAAAATCAAGCACTTACCAGGCTATGATGTAATAAATTGTGAGGATTTTTCTTTTTCCAATTTACCCTTTAGAATTGTGGACTTCCAAATTTGAATAACCTTCAATCAATTCAATTAGGGCCTGATGTCTTAATTCAGCGCAAAAGACGGTAAGTGGTTGGTTTTAAAAAATAACTTTTTAATGACTATTCTACCCTCATATAATCACGTTATCTTTTTTAGGGATTCTCTCTACGATTTCTCTAGGGCCTCTTTACAATGTTTTTAGATTTCTCTAGGGTCTCTCTATAATTTTTTTAGACTCCTTTATGTGATATCTCTCTGTGTCTGATAATAAGGTGATAAGAACAAATTTGTGCAAAATACAATTTTAGCAGCAATATTTTAAACATGACATATAGCCTTTTTGGTTACATTTAAATTGATTAATATATATTTGGTTGCTTCTTGTTGCTAATGAAAATGAATTATATGGAACAAATTACAAAAAAAATAATTCTATCTAATATATTTTAAACACAAATATAACCTTTTGGTTACCATTCACATTGATTCATTATAGAAAATAATTATTTATATAACAGAATTTTATTTAATTTTACATACTTTTTTTAATATTTTTAACACCATTTTTATACCTTACATAAATATTATGTAATTATTTATATAATAGAATTCTATTCTCAGAGAAGAATTGTCTTTCACGTATTTTCTTAACACTCTGAAGATGAATGATCTCTGATCTGCATGAACAACTTTAAGACTGATATTGCCGAGGACCTAAAAAATAAAATGGTGGGTCAGGCCCACAAACAAGTTCCCTCTACTACGACCAAATCAAAGAATAAATAATCAATATATTCCTACTCAAACTCATGCTATATTTACATAGTCGATATATACATATATACACACTAGGACTTTCACTAGTAATAGGGCACTCTCATCCGTGTAGTCAGCATCATGCAAAGCGCACACAAGGTGATCATGAATACCATCATCTACCAAGGCACACACATCTCCTATTCTAGCTACCCATCCAATCCGGCAATATATGCCTCCATCCTAACTATAGATCCCGAAACTTCAAGCTCGTATCATGACTCACACACACACACACACACACATATATATATATTCAACCTCAATAAAATAAGTGTCATATTTAACAACGGCACAAGTAGAGTGTAATGACTTAATAGCCAGCCCACCTATATATCAATCAATACGATATCTAATAATGGTATAAAATATCAAGAAACCTAGCTAAATAGCTATCTCATAGATCAACATCACATACAAGAATAAATCTCATCATAGCCATATATCAACAGCATAACAATTATAATCCATAACAGTTTAAGTCTAGAACGTACAATAGTTATGATAGAAACATGATTTAAAAATCATAACATCAACAACTCACATTTAGCAAGGATAAACAATCAATTATATTAATTTATCATGCTCATAGATCATACGTATATTTATAACAATGATTGTAATAACGTAATCAACAACCATATTTAATTATAGAAATTATGTAATGACCGGTTCTTTTTCCATTTTTACGGATTTTCTTTTTTCATTAAAGTTTCTTTTATGAGTTCGGGTTTTGTCCCTTCGGGTCGTCTTGAGTGCTCGGGAATAGTTCCCGAGACTCCTTCCTTTGGAGATTGGTATCATCATTGTGAGGATCGTGTTATCTTTTTTCTTTTTCCGGTGTTTTTCCTTTTTGTGTAACCTTAGGGTTTTGGAGACCCGAGGTAGGATTTTGATTTTGGTTTTGTGGTCGGATTGGATTTCCGACTTCACATGCATGCACTTCACTTTATTTCCATGAAATGCGTAGTCTTACTTTTGTAGAAAAAACATGCAACTTGTTTACTTTCCCCATAGAGGTATGAATGCATAGTTTCTTTGGAAACATTTTCTTTTCTTAGGGTGTATTCCGTAATTATCTTTTTGGATATTTTTGCTTACTGTCTTATGGACCTTTTTGCAATTTTTTTTGTGAGATATTTTGGGGAGGGACCTTTTTGTAACTTCCAGAAGTGTGACAAGTGTCACACTCTCATTAGTCCACTTGTATGCTTGTTAGTGGTGACACTTGGGAGCCTTGGATGATGGCATGTGGAGGGTGAGGATTCAACTACTTGGTGGCCTAGGATTGGTCCACTTGTTGGCTTTGGATGTGGATAAGTGTAAGGCTTAGATTAAGCCTTGAGAGGAGGCTTAGGATGGTGACAAGTGTAGGCCTGGGATTTGGTCTTGTGAGGAGGCCTAATTTGTTGACAAGTGGAGGGCTAAGATTGTAATGATCCGGTTTTTTTCCTCCTTTTCTTTTTTTTTTCGGTGATTTTCTTTTTTCGTCTTTTCCTATTTTGTCTTTTCCTTATTTTTGTCTTTTTTTTTTTAGTTTATCATTTTTCCTTGCATAACCTCACTTTTTGTGCTCGGATTTGATTCCGGTTTTGCTTGCATTCATGATATTTGATTTCCATGACATTTGTATTTTCACTTTTGTAGAAAATACATTGTAGTTACTTACTTTTTTGAAAAGGGCATGAATGTATACTTTAATGTAATTATTCTTGATTTTTGGGGTTTTAGTGTAATTATATAAAATAATTGTTTTTCGTTTTAGGAACCTTTTTGCAATTTAATTTGAAAGATATTTTAAAAAAGGATTTTTTTGCAATTTTTGGAAAATGTGACAAGTGTCGCATTCTCATGGTGCCATTTGTTGGCATTGGGGTGGAGTGACTTGGGAGCATAATCTCTTGACATTTGAAGGGTGGAGATTCACTCACTTGTTGGCCTAGGATTGGTGCACTTGTTGGCTTTGATGGTTGACAAGTGTAGACTTAGGATTAAGCCTAGGAAGGAGTCTTGGATTTGTGACAAGTGTAAGCTCACCATTTAGTCTTGCATTGTGTGTGTGAGAGAGGTAGTATAAGAACACATAGTGAGTGGAGGATTTCTAAACCTTCCACTCACCATTTTACATTTTATCCTTTTCATTTCATTTGTTCTTCAAAACCTAAACCTAGCCACCATTGGAGAAAAGCTTGGTTAATAGCTTTCTTCTTCATTTTGGCTTCCTTCCACTCACCTTAGACCAAAAACCTTGGGAGACAAAAGTTTCCCCTCACTCTCCTCTTCATTAACCCTAAACTTATTTTATATTTTGAGTTTGGTAGCTTGGATTATAGAGATTCAATTCTCTATTGAGGTAGGGGTGGTAGTATGTTTATATTTTAAGTGTTTTATAATCTTTTAGGGTTTAATATAAATTGTGTACATGATTTTAGAATTGTAGTATTGCATACTATATGAAATTCTTATGATTGACTTAGGATTTATTGATTTAAGCATGTATATTGTGTATGTATCTTGAGTAGGATTATTAATGTTGTATAGAACTTTTATTGATTTGAATTACTATCCTATTGTGATGTTAATCCTACATTCTAGTAAATTACTATTGGTAATTGTAATTATTTTAGAAGCTTAATATTATAATGTTGTAATCTAGTATATAAAGCTTATTGTTGAGGCATGGCTAAATTGATAAGTTGGTGATATTGTTTTGCACATTATGTCATGATGAGTACTTATCATTTACCATGCCATTCTAGACTTGGAAGCCCTAAGACATGGTTTGTGTGGTTTCAAAATACTTGTGCATGGAAGGTGGTGTATATGCCTTAATAATTATGTATGAGTTTTGAACTTACTATATTTTGGATCATCTTGGGATATTATTACAAGTGACATGGCTAGAATTTGGCTCTAGTGTGGGAGGTATGAGTTCTTCCCATTTATAGTGCGCACTAGGGTGGTATTCCAAGCGGGTTAATGTCCGGAATAACCATTTAGGTCTTAGCTTTATCCGAGATTTGATGTCCAAGTATTCCATTAATTGATTTCGCATTCTTTTCCAAGTTGACAACCAATGTTTAATTGTGACTTGTGATTTTGGTTATTGGCAAATTTATGTTGTTAAGTACATTAATATTGTTATTATGTTATGCTGGAATCATTGCATTAGCTTAAGGTGATCCCTTAGAATACCTTGAACATAGATGTTACGTGAAATGCTCCCTTGTATTCGTTTATATTAATCTTGCAATGATATTGAAACTTTAGGGTATACGCATATGCTTCTTCCTACGGGTAACTTGATTACTCACCCTAGTGGTTTGGGTTGTTTTACAGGTAAGGAGACAATGTTTTTGGATGCTCATCATCCTTAGAGGCTCATGAGTCATTTGAAGCATTTTTGTATATGGACATGCACTTGTTTAGC